TGATCACAAAAGAGGAGCCATAATCCTTAAAGGCTGTCTTTGGGATGAGGAAGTTGAATGAATAACTTAATTCAGATCAATCCTTTCCTAACTGCTATGTGTGCCCCATCTGAGCAAGTACATACATGTATATGTAATTATAAATACTGTTATATTATTATAATGTTATAGGCACATTCCATATTATTAGCATATATATCATAATATACATATGATTGTATATATTATATGTGTCTCTCTGTACAGTGTAAAGGCTATACTATGCTTCCTGGGACAGAGAGTCAAGGTTCTGGGTCCTAATTCCAGACTCTCCGGAGTTGCCATTTGGAAAAATTATCCAAATTCACAATGGAGCTCAGTTTCTTGGTCAATAAAAATAGTGCTGCACAAGAGCTGCCAGTCCATAAAGTCTCCAAAGTCCCTTGAAATTAGGGCAGTATGGACAAACCAACATTAGCATTGGACCTAGATCACTATTCTAGCCGTCAGTTGGCCAGATTCCTTAGAGGAGGGTATGGAAATACACTACTTGTGACTCAGTGATTTGGATAGTCTCCCTCCCCCCGTACTTACTTAAATGTCACTTGACTAATAAGTTAGGGAACTTAAAGTGGAGAGTGAATATCCTTAATCAGAGACTTAGTGGCCTAAACATATTTAATCCCCACACCATGTGGATACCAAGAGAATCTTGGGCAAATCCCACTGCAATTTACACTAATACACATGGGCTACTGAAAGTATAAACAATCACTTCCTCAGACCAAAATAACTTTCTTTCATCTAGGGGGCCATATAAGAGATCCCAATAAGCAGATCCATTCTATCACAGTGTAGACCGTTTCAGAATCTCTTTGTATTAATACATGCACATTGTCTCAAAGGTCACTGGGCTCGATGCTGAGCTACAAAATGACTAGCAAGGCCAGGCACATAGTAGGTACACAGATTTGTGTAGGCTGAATGAGGAATCAAATCAAAATGACTTTAAGTAAAGCAAGGAGTTAACTTGCCACCCATTACTCAACCACCTCAGACACTAGACTAAGCCCTTGAAGCAAAATAGCTGGGATATGATGCAATCTAGGCAGCAAACATTCATTTGGGGCAAAATCAAGTTAGAAGATGACACTTAATTTCAAAATCAGAAGAGAAAGATAGGCACCACCCTTTCTCCTCCTAGATTGATTCTTTGAACAAGTGTTTCCCTGGGTCATGTGTGAAACACTTTGCTAGGTGCCGGGAGTCAAGGATGAATAACCCATAGCCCCTCATCACAATGTCCGTGGGAAGACAGAAATGGACACTAAAAACAAGCTGCTGTACAGGAAGACAGGAGCTAGACAGAGTAAAACACGAAGCACCAAGGCCATCTGTTCAGAGAGGTTGTGGTTATAGTGTCATTTTCAAGTACCTGGCTGTCCTGTCCTCTCAGATTGCTTTAGTGAAAAGCTTGGCCGTGACACTGGATATTTGAGAAAGTCAGCCTAAAGAACATGTCAACCATTCATTCCTCTAGGTTTTCTGAGCTCTATTTCTGCCTTGGGGACAATCTTCAGGATCTCCACTGCTGGACCATGGTTTAGCTTATCTCCAAAGATAAACTCCCACTGGGTTACTTTACATCATTCTGCTTTCTGCATATTTTTTCTCTCTAGGGTTGGTGAAAAACGTGATCATATAAAATCTTTACTTCATTTTCTGGAGAACTGAAGTTCAAGTATTGGCCATTATATGATTTGGTATTTCATAGGAGTATATACTAGTAGTCAGGCACTAGAGTAAGCACTCTGCCAATGTTATCTGAGATATCCTTATAACTTTAATGGGTACTCCAGTTCTCTTTTTTTTTTCTCTCTGAACTTGGCCACTGAGAAGCTCAGAGCTAAATTAAATACTCAAAAGCAATAAGCACTTAATATTTCAGTTTATCTTTTGTCCCCTACCATTTTTACCAGTTTCATCATTTTGTAGACCTTTTACATTTACTCAGACACGTTTCTGAGAGTCGATACTCTATAAAGAAAAACAAATTTCCATAAGCATTTATTGTAACTTCCTTTTAATCTCAATTGTCAAAAAAGTTCGCACGACTAGCTAATTTGAAGATAACCCCTTGGGTACCACAGCTCAGTCAACTTGCAAACTCAGGTAATGCAATATTTCCCATAATCATCTGGTTCAAAATCTTCTTATGGAAGTGGGAAAAGGGGGCCAAGGGAGAGGGTACAGAGTAACCACCAGGTTATTTTCAATCTACTTCCATGGGCTATTTCTATCTCATGTGGGATCCTGACAGTCTCATCTGCCCTTTCCCCAACCACCACTTTTGCAGATCAACTAGAGATACTGTTAGAACCTGCTGAGTGAGAAGGCATAGCTATCACCCAGTGATGTCTATTTCCTGGAATTTAACTCTTAGCACTGTCAATACCTCTGGAATGCATAAAAATTCTGCTGCAACCCAGCATGTTGAAGGTCAAAGTCTTCAGGGACCTAGGTAAGGCAAACTGTTGCTGAGGAATTCCATGTACTCAAGGCAAATGCCCCCAAGAAAAACTCTCAGAAATAACTCTGTATCATCACTAACCTAAATGGGGCTAGCTTTCATCTTAAAAGAGAGAGAGAGAGCCGAAACCGGTTTGGCTCAGTGGATAGAGCGTCGGCCTGTGGACTGAAGGGTCCCAGGTTTGATTCCGGTCAAGGGCATGTACCTTGGTTGTGGGCACATCCCCAGTGGGAGGTATGCAGGAGGCAGCTGATCGATGTTTCTCTCTCATCGATGTTTCTAACTCTCTATCTCTCTCCCTTCCTCTCTGTGGAAAATTAATAAAAGAGAGAGAGAGATAAACAAAGATTGACCCATATATACATGGCACACACATATACAGGCACAGATCTTGGCCTACCCAATTGGTACCCATTTAGGATGCTTAGTCAGGTATTTTGGTGAACACAATGTTTGGGCACAACTATTCCTTTATTCAACAAAGATTTATTCAGCACCTACTGTGTGCCAAACATGGTTCAAGATGTTGGAGGATCAAGAGTGAATGAAGCAGTCAAGATACTTTTTCTCATGGACTGTATTCTAGACACAGGAGATAGGTAATCAATAAAATGAACCAATTGAAATGAACAATTCAGATTGCAAATAAAACCAAGGATGGGCGGGGGGGAACAAAAACCAGTGTCTCAGAAGGAATGAGGGATGGCCTTTACTCAAGTGGTCAGGGAAAGGCTTTTTAAGGTGACACATAATCTTACACTAGAATGACAAAAAGGAGCTAAACAAACCAACCACCTTTACTCTGATTTCCATCACAAAGATGAGCTTACTAAAGAAATGTGCAATCCCATGTGTGGCTCCACACACCTGTGCTTCAAATAATTGCACCCCCCCCCACCCAAATACACAGAACAAAACAAAACAAAACAGAAAAGGAAAGGAATCCACAACTTTCTTAAGGAAATGTTAAGAAATAACCTTTTCTCAAAGATATAGATTAAAATTTATTTTAATAGCAGAATTTACTACAAAGAATTTCTAGGGGAGAAATGGAATGTTTATTACTCTTGGAAAGTCAGTTATTTTATAAAACAAATATTTCAATGTCAATAAAATTATGCCTTTGAATTGTAATGCCAACAGGAATTGCTTCATAAAATACAGTTCTGTGGCTAGATTCAGTATCATTTGCTTCCACTTGCTGGAAAAGAAAAGCAAATCGTATTTACTAGCAGATGGTCCTCCTTCTAATATATAACAAAACTTTGAAATTCATGAAAATAGAATTCTGATAGTATGTATTTAACAATCACAAATAATAAATGGTTGTTCACCAATGCCTTCCCATACAATACCCCAAATAAATCACTTAGTATTGAATTTCTGTTAGAGTCAATTAAAACACTTAGCCAAAACTAAAAACATCCATTACTCAAAAATACTTTTCATCAAAACACCGTTTTTTAAGAGAAAAATGTTTCCTAGTCCCTGACTTGTTTCAGAATAAGAGAGGTAAACAAGTGAATGAGGGAGCAGTCACGGTGAATAGTCAGAATGAATCATGGAATATTTTGACTAAAAGGCAAGTTTTACTTTGTAATCCAATGCATGCTATATATTTTTACAATATAAATAAGGATACTCAACTAATAGAAGGCAAAGTAATGTAAAGATATTGCCCAAGGTCTACATTACCCAATACACCTGTTCCTGCTGTGCTTTAGGTGTTTGAACTTCAAAACAGGTCTTTAAAACAATCTCACTAGCACCTGAGACCAGTAACCTGCTAAGAGGTAGGCTGTTTCAATGTCTGTTTGTTTACTGATTAGGGGGTCCTGTTTGAATCTTCATGAATCCTAAATCTGTGCGGAGTGGGGGGAGAATGAAGAATCTGAACTTATCTGTGCAGATAAATTCTTTTCTTTGACTCACTTTACAAATTGTTATGCTTCTAGACCCTTCACGGTTTCCCACTTGGGGAAAATTAGACATTTAAAATTAATAACTAAAAACTCACCCCATGCTCCCTCTCCCTAACAAATCAGAGGCTTAAGACTTAGCACTAATAATAACCCTCCAATGGTCATTGGGAAATCCTTTTCCAAAGTGACCACAGCAGCTAAGAAGGACAAAATCCACGAGTAAAAAAAATACTCCCCCCAAATGAGTCCTCCTCTGGGGGGGGGGCGCGAGGGGGGGCACACAGCTGGCACAACTCCTGGTATCAGAACCCACTTCGGGCCACTCAGACAGAGATGCTGCGCCAAGAGAAGCGAGGCAAAGAAGTGCGACTCGGGAGCCTGGCGAGATCGCCGCGGACTCGCAGAGGAGGCGGGGAGACGCCAAGTAGCCAGGCACCGGTGACAGCGCACGCCAATATTCAGGATCCTTCTCCTTTCCAAACCCGGCAGTTCCCGGGCAGGAGCAAAAGGGGGGATGGGGGACCCACAGTCCCTTTAAACCGCACCCCCTCTCCCCCGTGTCTGCCAACCTTTTCCGAATTCCCGTGTCACAGAACTTCCTCATCATGGAAACTTCCACTCGGTTCGGCGCCGAGGATGCCAAACTCCATTTCACAAGGAGCCTGTCAACAGCCGGGTTGGGGTTTGAGACACGGAGCCGCTGCGATGGGAGCGGGCACCCAGCTCTGCCACGGCCCACGCCGTGGCTCCGGGAGCCCGCTGCGCGCTGCCCCGGCGCCAGAGGGCACATCCTCCCAGCCCCGGGGCGCAGAAACCCCGCGGAGGCAGGTAACAGGGCGGCTCACCGACACCCCCACCCACCCACGCCCCGCCCGCGCGCGCTCAGCTGGCCGGCCGCACCCCTTCAGTGTCCCGCGACACCCCGGTCACCATCCTGCCCACCCTTCTGGACATTTGGAACTGTCGCC